CACCCTCTACCCCCAAATATAATCCACTCTGCAACCCTCATTGCATACTCCTACGATAAAAATAATGCCCTAAAATAGAATACATTCAGCATTTCTTAAACTCAAGGAACTGAAGAACAAATTCAAGCCTCAAATTACAATACTTAAGGATTAACTGTGGCTAACTATGAGAAGAATGGGAATCCTAGAACACTTAATCATGCTTATGTGAAACCTATACTTGGACCAAGATGCAGTTATCAGCACAGAGCAAGGAAACACTGCATGGTTCAAAATTGGGAAGGGTGTACACCAGGGATGTGTTCTATCTCCATACCTTTTTCAATCTATATGCAGAACAGATTATCCAGGAGTCTAGGCTCTATAAGGAGAAATGTGGCATCAGGATTGGAGGAAGATCCATTGACAATCTGTGTTATGCAGATGACACAACCCTGCTTGCAGAAACTGAGAAGGACCTGAAGTACTTGCTACAGAAGGTCAAGGACTGCAGCCTTCAATATGAATTGAAGCTCAACATCAAGAAAACAAAGGTTCTTACCACTGGGCTGATTGGCAGCATCATGATAGATAGTCAAGAAACAGATTGTTAAGTTTTCGTTTGCTTGGCTCCACAATCAACACTCTTGGCACCAGCAGTCAGGAAATTAAAAGATGAATTGCATTGGGAAAGTCTGCTGTCAGGGACCTGTCCAGAGTACTGAAGAGCAATGATGTCGGTCTGGAGACTAAGATGTGTTTGAGACAGACCATGGTCTTTGCAATTACTTGCTATACATCAGAGAGCTGGTCAACAACTAGGGATGATAAAAGGAGAATTGATGCCTTTGAGCTGTAGTGTTGGAGAAGAGTATTGAATATACCATGGACTACCTGGAGAACAAACAGCTTTATCCTAGAGAGGGTGAAACCAGGCTGCTCCTTGGAGGCAAGGATTCTCAAGCTTTGTCTGACATGCTTTGGACATGTGGTGGAGGGCAACAGAGGAGGTCCTTGATGAGATGGGTTGATTCAGTGATTGGAGTAATGGGGGTAGGTGGGTCAGAGACAATAAGATTGGCACAAGATAGAGCAGGGTTTAGAGATATTGTACATGGGGTCATTATGAGTCGCAGGCAACATGATGGAACATAACAACAACAACAACAACCCTAAAGACCATGTGAATACAAAATAGAGGAGTTCATCTTTCCATTGATTTTTTGCTCCTGTTATTGCTTAGCTGTTGTTGTATATCCTCAAGTTGGAACCTACCCATCACAAATGCACCAGAAGGTATTCAGAGGTAGTTGATTGATTACACAGGAGGAGATTGCTCATCTTTTTCCCACAGAGCAGCCAGCAGCTGATAGGCTTGAACTGCATACCATGGGGTTGGCATCTCAATTCCTTGCCACTAAGCCATAATTGCATTGGGCTTCCAGCATCACATCAGTACACAGTGTTTGCTACAGCACTGTGGCAAACTGAGAAAAAGATAACTGGAAAAAAATGGTTGCCATATTACATTAACAGAGAACAGAGAAGTGAAATTTGGATTCAGAAAAATGAAGGATATCTTTGCTAACATCAGAAGGGTATTGGCTGAATGCAGAGAATACCAGAAAGATGTTTACTGGTGTGAGGTGCCATCAAGTTGACTGCAACTCACAGCAACCCTATGAACAGCAGATCTGAATCTCACCCTCTGTTGCAGCAATCTCTGATAGGCTCAGCCCATTGTTACAGCAATTGTGTTAATCCACCTGGTTGGAGGTTTTCCTCTCTTTCTCTCACCCTCCAGCTTTTCCAGCATGATGTCTTTTTCCAAAGTCTGGCCACTCCTGACAATATGTCCAAAGTATGTCAGACAAAGTTTCATCATCTTTGCCTCTGAGGAGAACCCTGGTTGCACTTCTTATGAGGTAGATTTGTTTGTGCTTTTGGAAGTCCATGGGACATTCAATACTCTTCTCCAAAACCACAACTCAAAGGCATCAATTCTTTTGTCATCCTTAGTCATTCCCCAGCTTGTAGATGCATAGGAAGTAATTGAAGAGAAAGTGGCTTGGATCATGCCTAGCTTAAAAAAAATGACTAGTAGTTGGAGGTACATGGTTTGAGGCCACCAGCTGCTCCATGGGAGAAGGATGGACAATTTCCTCCTGTGCAATTAACTGCCTCTGAAAACCCACCAGAGGATCATATATGGGTCGGTTCTGATTCTATGATACACAAGAAGAAGAGGAAGCCATAATTGCATAGAAAATTAAAAAAAAAAAAAGAAACATTACCAAGCACTTTAAAAAATACTTTCCCAATGTGTTCTCATTTGAACTCCGTAACAGTCAGGTGTCATCCACTTCTGTAATAGCTTGCCTCCGGAAACCCTCACCCAAGCATCAGGACTCTCCTTCATAGGGTCACTATGAGTCGCCTGGGACTTGACGGCACTTAACAACAATAACATCAACATAGAGAGAGGGATCAACTGGCCGAGAGGACAGAAAGCGATGCTACCAAGCCTAAGGTGGGTGACTTTTAATCAGCGGCCCTCGGGCCTGTCTTTCATTGTTTTTGTTCAGACATTCCTCTAGGTCATATAGCCTTGGTGTACAAGTTCCCATACAGCAGTAACTTGAGGTTGCTGTGGGGCTGAACACTGTGACACTGATGTGTCAAATGCGTTAATGGTTGGCTACCCAATGCGGACAGAGAGTGGGGTGGAGCTCCCCCATTAAAACAAGCGTGGAAGGAGGAGTGGCGTCCACTTCCATAATAGCTTGCCTCCGGAAGCCCTATGAACCTGGAGAGAGGATGAAAGACACCCAAGCGTTGAGATCTTTCCTTCATAGGGTCGCTATGAGTCACCTGTGACTCAACGGCACTTAACAACCAACAGCAACAGCCAGGTAATAGCCATTGGTTGATTAAGATCTATTTTGCAGATGAGAAGACTGACTTGTCCCTAGTCACTTAACTAGATTGTTGCCATTTGGAACCTAACCCAGGCTTTCTAGATCATCCACTCAGATTCACCACCTGCACAAATACAGCACTTTGCATTAGAAACAGCCATCTGAGTCTGTGTAAATGGTTTCTGTGGCATCACAGACCAGAAATTCAGTCTGCTGCCTTTTATAAATCAAAGAGATCCTTCAAAACACAATTTTCCCAGAAAGTTTGTGTTGGCTCACCCACAGACAGCTGCTTTATCAAGTGCTTGCTTTCTTTCTTTCTTTTTTCCCCAAGTTTCCTTTTTTTCATTGTGATTTTAACAAAAATTTACAGAAAAGTCATATTTTTATTCATTCATGCTTGCACATTTTCCTCCCTACTCCCCAAAGTTCACTTTTTAAAAAATAAAAACATTCATTCATTGTTGCATAATTTCTCCCACCTCTCCCTCCCTCCTCCCAGTACACTTTGCTATGCACCTCTTATTCTAGACTATTGTCATACAAATAATGCCTAATCACATATTCCTTTTAAACAGTATACTTTCCTATGTGTATTGCTGCATTATTCACAATAGCAAAGAAATGGAAGCAATCCAAGCACCCATTAACAAATGAATGGATAAAAAAATCCCCAATGGTATATTCACACCATGGAACACTATACAGCATGGAAAAGCAAGGAACTCATAAAATATTATACAGCATGGGTGATCCTGAAGGACTTTATGCTAATTTAAATATCTCAGTCAAAAAGAGACAAATACTGTATAACACCACTGTTATAAAACAAGACTGACATAGTGTTTGGGGGGTAACCAAGAAAAGAGAGAATAAAATAATGAACACTACATTGGAGCATATCAAGTGCTTTCTGGAAGAATGTGTCAGTTTCTCTGAGACCCGAAGTGACCGTTCATAGCCATTACTGTTCTGCTTCCTTATAAAGTTGTCATGTTGTAGAGGGCAAGTCTGGTAGGAAAGGAAGATCAGATCTTCACCATTGAGTTAGTCACAAGGTAGTCAGTCCTACTTTTGGAGTCTGAAGCCACCAAATTTCTAACCCACTACAGTGCCCAAGAGGCCTTGAGGTCTGTGTGTTGGGTATTTCCCCAACTCCAAAGAATCATGTACTTTCCCTTTAACCACCTATGCTTGCCTTTTTGGACTGCTAAAATAGAAATTCTCTTCCTAATTCTCCTCTCCATTTATTTTAGAAACAAAATTGCAACTTCATTTTTTAGTACCCTGCTGTATTGCCTGAATTTTGGTGACCCCCATTTATAAAAGGCATGTGTAATATATGTATAAAAGGGAGAAAATACCCAGGCCAGGCTGAGAACAGTCACTGAAATTCCTGCCTTTTTCTTGAGTGGCCAGCTGATACTGGGGAGGGCAAAGGCCTGTGGGAAACCAGCATCTCGGAGAGGCTGTGTACAGGTCATGTATGTAGGTCTGCTCTCGTTCAGCCTTCCTGGCAGAGGCTGAGTGGCTGCAGGCCTTCTCAGGAAGCTGCTTAGAAGATTGCTGAGGAACTCCTGCTGTTACAGTTAAGAGTTTCTTCCCTTTCTTTTCCCCAAGTTATTCCCTTATTAGAGAATCCGGCAAAACCAGGAGGAAGGAGCGGCGAGTTTTCTGCCTAGCACAGAGTCCTTCTGCCTCTCATTAAGGCCTCTTTCTCGATATATTCTGTGATGTGAACTTGTGAACTCAGTACTGCTTACTTAGCCATCATTGCAAAATCAGCACTTAAAGCTATCAAGTCCCCAACAGCAAGCCAGCTCTC